AGCCCCATCCAACCTGGCCTGGAACACTTCCAGAGATAAGGCAGCCACAGCTTTTCTAGGCAACCCGTGCAGGGCCTCACCACCCTCCCAGTCAAGAATTTCTTGTATGTATCTAACCTAAATTTCCCCTCTTTCACTTTGAACCCAGTACTCCTTCTCCTATCACAATTTTTGAATGCTTTATCCTGAAAGGTAACTGGCAGCAGCTCAAGGCACCTCAGCACCCCAAGGGGGAAGCACCAGGGCACCCATCACCTTCACTTTCATCGAGCTGGTGCAAGTTACATGAAAAATGGGAATTCCTGCTCCAGCCCTCCAAAGGGTGCAGGCTGTGAAGGTTTACCCCAGCCCTCCTTGCCGTGCTCTGTGGACTGTCTGCCTCCGAGCCGTCTCACACACCTGCTCCGAGTGCAGCTGTGTACAAGGAGCAGCCACAGGTTCCAAGGGGAGAAACGGTGCTTTTCACATGGAACAAAATGCACAGCTCATTTCGTCCTGCTGTTGGCTGGGGACAGGTATTTTCCCTGATTGCAGCCACCCCCTGGTAGAGGCAGAGGATGCACTGGATCCTATCTCCCTCCTCACCCCACTGCCCACTAAGTTACGATACTGCAGAGAAAAGGATAAAAAAAAGAAAAATTAATTTGGTGTTCAACTTATCAGACTTGGACCAAGTCTCAGCCCAAACCAAGGTTAAATAGACCTGTTCTAAGGTAGGATTTATATAGCAATTACGGTAATGGAAACTGAGGCTTTATAATTCTTATACTGCCTAAAATTCTGCTGTGTCATATGCATCTGCAGAGCCCGAGGAATATGCTGCTCAGAGAGTACTGCAGTCCTGAAAGCAGCCATTCAGATGGATCATGGAGAGTTATTGGAGCACGTGGATGTTCGAGATTTTAATGAAGCATAAAGAGTTAGAATCAGAATCCTGGGAAAAGCAAGGAGTTTGTATTTGAGACAAGTAGTATTTTTAAAATGTTTTATTTTGTTTGGAGTTTATGGAACTAAATCTCAATCACACATGGTGCAAACAGCATTCTGATTGTCCTTTTATCCTTGGATTTCTTTTCCTTTGCTGCAGTCTTAGACCTAGAGTTAGCACAGTGCATCTTGGCCAGACAGAATCCTCGCAGCCACTTTCCAGTTTTCTCTGTGGTGCAAGGAAAAATACCGGCGTGCTAAGTCTTTGCTGTGTGATAAAGAACAACTTGGGAAGATCTGGGGATCTGATAGGGGGTTTGGCTCCACCTTCAGGAAGCAGAAGGCAGAGAGACAACGCGGGCTTGAGTTTCAGATTCTTTCTGCAGCAACTGGAGCCTACAACCTCCTCTTACTGACATCTACTGCTCCCCAACGGGTCTTTGCTTCGGATTTATCAGGTTCCCTGATCTGATGCCGTGACATTTCTACATGGTTGATACAGCTCTGAAGAGTCCAACTCCTCCTAGAAGTACTTGAAAAATTGGGGCAGGATGTCCAGAGGGAGCTGCTATATGGACAGATAGATTTATGAACAAAAGGCAACAAAAAGCAGCTTTGAGGTGAAAAAAGTTGGGACATGTGGGGCATCAGAGAGCTGTATCAAATACCATTAGCCATTCACTCTGTCAGTGTTGAGGTTTCCCTACAGAGTGTGATTTTCTTTTATAATTCCCAGAGATTAGAAAGGTTCTCTGGGTAACACAGATGGATTGAGAGGAAGAAAGTGGGAAGAGCATTGATCAAATTTCAGTCTAGCAAAACATTTAAGCATATGCCTAAAGTTAAGCTATTTTTTCTCCTTGGATTCAGGCAGAAGATGCAAACAGAATAATCTCCTATATTTCACTTCTTGGCAGACTCTGATGCAGGCTGAACCCAGAACAAGGTAGCTAGTTAAATAGCATGAATTAAATGAATTGAAGTTATGCATTTTTTAAAGAAGCCATATAGTGACCATTTATAATAAAGAAAATGGCAGAGTAGTTAGGGATGAGATGACACTGAAAGTCTATATGATGCATTAGTGACATAATTAGCAACCACACAATTAGCAAAAGTCCTATGAGGCAATGGAAATGCACAGTCTTGCCTTTGGAATTTCCTCAACTGGGTGCTTGAGCACCCTCATCTTCTGGAGGAAACAGGTTTGAAAACTGCAGAGCAAGCAACAGTGCAGAGATGGCCTGAACACCTAATGCATCTAAAATTAAAAAATCTCAAAAACACAGAGAGGAGAGGGGAGCAGACTGAATAGACGTGTCTGTCCAAGCAAATATAACCGAATATACTCCTGAGGAACAAAGGAAACAATTCTTGATGGGGTGACAACAGATGTTCTCCAAAAAAAAAAAATTTCTAAGGGAACATTTCAAATACAAAGACTTTCCTGTGGAGTTGAGAAGTTTTACTGGCAGACGTACAGGAATACATCTTTGGAAACAGAATAAAAGGTAACATTTAAGGTGTTATCAGGTCCTGAAAGCAGCAGTGATATCTTCATGTAGTAAGTAGTGGGTGGTGGTGGAGAGGGAAACAGTGAGGATAATGTAATACTGTCACAGGAAGTTGCTGTGGCATAGTTGTGATTTAAATCCCAGGAGCAATAACTAGTTTGCTCTAAAATATCTCTAAATCCACTTTTTTTTGAAAATGAGCTCTAAACACAAGTGAAAGATGCACAGATTGACCTAACTGAAGAAATACAACCCAGAGACATTTATTAATGCAGAGTAAGCACACCTATTTTGCACTGCGGGAATGAATGTCAAGTGCCCAAAGCTGGATGTTTCTCCCAGCTCCTGCTCCTTCAGATCACATTTAAGCACATTGCAGAAAGTCCTAAAATGGACATCAAAAAAAAAAGGAGGAAAAAAGGACAGTTTATAGAGTCATTTTTACAATGACTGAACTGCATCTGTACTTTGGGAAGATCTGGATTTCATGCCTGACCAGGATCTGCAGCATCTTCAGTGAACAGCTTCATGTGAGTTTTAAAGCTTAAGCACTTCAAATTCTTGTTTTAAACTCTGGCCTTTATTTTTGATGTTCTTTAATTTTACAGATACAAAATAGTATTTCTCTGTCTTGTTGGAATGTTGAAAGGATTCCTGACTATCTGCAAGGCCAGCAGATATCATTTTATCTGAGAACAAGGCAGGAGGATGACATATTACATTGTCTAATTATTTGCATTGCTTTGCAACTGTTTTGGGGAAAACAATCCAGAGAGAATATTATTCCAGTGCAATCAGAACTACAGAAACATTAGGATGGACAAGCTGATTGACAGGAAGAAGCTAAAGCAGGCGGCAACACAGAAAATCATCATTGGACAGACATTTTGATAAATATTCCTGTAGCCAATTTATTATTAACACAGAGGGACAGCTTTACATCTTGCATCACACTTTTCACAGCCCTTATGGTAAACATGCCATATCTGACAATTACAAGATGAAAACAAAGACCTCACTAACTCTCTCCTGGCCCTGCAGTATTATCTGCTCGCTCAGTTAACCCCCTCTCCATTTCAACTGAAGGAGCAATACAGAAACGCAGAAATGTGTGTTCAGAAATGGAACAGAACTCCAGTAGCATCCCATACAAGTTCCGAGGGTTGTGCTATCTGTGGCACTAGTTTCCAAAAGGCTTCACAGACATGGAGAGGGCTGTGGATGAAGTGGAAAGTCGTCAGTACAAGACAGAGGATGAACTAGAATACAACTTAAAGGGGAGAGAATTAAATTGCTCTGTCTGGTCGCCTGTGGCTGGATTCTGCCTGTGATGACAGAGCAGTGCAGTCCTGGCATGACCATACACTGGATCACAAACCAGAGCTCCAGGAGGGAAGAATCCCCCTGCAGCTTTTATTTCCTGGATTGGCTGGCACCCATCTCTTTCTGCAGAAACACTGCAACTTGGAATAGCAGATCTTTCTCTCTGCTGGCTACTTGGCTTCTGGGATTAACAAACTATCTGATGGACCTTGTAACCAATTATACTTTCATCTGATTCACACAAAATAGGTCCCAGATTCTTTTACAGACAACGAAGCACATGATGGACTGCTGAAATCCCCAAGTCAAGCCCTCTGCTACTTGTACACCTGGAGACACATTTTAGAATGAAATCCTGTGTGATAAATTGCCCAAGGCTATTTTTTTATTATAACATCCATGACATCTTCCTATTTTCACAGCTTCATTATCAGCTTCAGGGTGAAAAAATAAAAAGCAGACAAGTCACAGGATGATCTTAGCCAGGAGATCTTATTTGATTCAAATATCTATTTTCCATCCACTTCCTGTCTGTTTTTCAAAGTATTTCAGGGAACAAAACTGATGTGCACAAAGAGCATTCAGTGAGAGAGAGCAAAGGGAGGTGCAACAAATATCAAGCAAGGGAAGGGAGCTGTAACAGAGTGTTCTTGTATCTTTGAACCCACAAGTAAAATGCATGGTAGGAAGTATTCCAAAACCACGTCTTTCTTTCGTGAAGGAAGGAATTAACGTTAAGCACAGAGTATTCCTTGTGGTTTATTCTCATTACGTGATATGTCAGGTTACGCTGATTTGGAAAAAACCCCAGGATTTCTTTACAAAGCTTTCTGTGCACTGGGCTTACTGTGGGTTAAAAGGAGACTAAAAACCACAAATTGTGCTTTAAAAAAATCAATTTAGGAATCTCATTTTTGGTAATTCTCTTAAAGATACCCTTTGTGGACACATTATAATGTTTTGAAAGTTTCAGCTGAAAAGCAGAATAGCCTAAATTTTTGAAAAAATCTTGACTACAGTTTCTATCACGTGGATTTGTTACTCAGTTACTGCCAGTTTTCCTTAGAAGGTAAAGTGAATGTTTAAAATTGGTCAAATAATGTGAAGATGCTGTTTTCTGTCTCTGTGTGTATATACTTTTCTTTAAAGGAACAACGTGGGAAATCTTAGTTGTTCTAAAAACTCTGGTCAAATGACTTTGAAGGACACAGAATTATTTCACAGAAACACAAGTGATCCAAAAAAAGAACCTTTTAAGGGCTTTATTAGTACAAAGAATTCACTCTTTTGACACTCTGTAGCTGTCAAACACATGCACCAATTTATTTTCAGAAAAAGAAGGTATGTATTTCACTGTGGATGGTTGCAAAGGAATAAAGAAAAAAATCAAATAAGCAGAAATCAGAAAATCAAAATAAGCAGAACAATTATTTCCTCTTCTAACCTCAGGCCATGTCAACATCCACCCTCACTTTCTGTTATGTGTCATCTACGATTCTATTTTTTATGCCTCCATACTTTTTACTGTTGATCAGTACTGACCAAACTTTGCTATTTGACCAAAATTTTTCTTCAAGCTTTACAGAAGTAATTATTTCAATAAATAGAATTTCACAGGATACACCAGAACAAGACTTGGGGCTATCTGGATTTTAACAGGATAGAAAAAAAGGCAGTTTGTGTGGTTTGGGATATTTAAGTTAATTTCCAAACTGCCACTTTGGAAACTGTTATGAGAACAGATCCCAAGTGAATCCTGGCCCATTCACTCTTTTTCCAGTTCTCTGTAACACTAAATTATACTCACAGACACAGAACATCAGTGCAAAAGTCTGCACATTTCACAAATGATATAACTTAGCAAGAAACTCTGCGCTCCAACAAATAGAGCAGCCACAAAGTTAGACCTCTGAGGTAAACTCATGCACTTGAGGAACTTCCATATATGATCATCTTCGGTTCAAGGTACATTTAATATTCCGTTCTGATGAAATGCAATTAATAAGTCCTCAGCAATTCCAGCGGACAACTGGATCCAGCTGCAGAAATAAGCTGCCCCTACGGATTTGTGACAATTACTGCCAGGACTAGGGATAGGTCTGCATTTTCCTGAAAGTTGCATTGGTGATGGTGAGCCGTGTGAGCCTCGCACCGTAGTAATCTATAATGTAACTGGAGCCATCGGAAGGTCCAACAATCTGCAAGAGAAAAAGAGAACCAAGACTTTTCAATATGAAGTGAAATATATACTTTGTGCTAATGTCTCAATTACTGCTAATTTTCTCATCATAAAATTAGTCATGCTTAATTAGTCAGAAACTAGATTTATTTTGAAGTTATGCTGCAGTTTAACTGTTTTAGCGAGCGCTGTCTCAGAAGGAACATGTCCCCTGGGCTTCTAATCAACCAAATTACACAGCCAGGCACTGGGACTCGGTTAATCCGGTGAGGATTTGAGTCACAAAATCAGGTTAACAAATGAGTGGGCTCCAAACCACTTTTCTTGAACAAAGGAGGGTCTGCAGCAGAGAATTAGGCTGATGACAAGTATCTTTGAAACACGGCACAGGTAAGGAATGAAGAGAAGTAGAGAAGATCATGGAGTTTTTTGTTCTGAAGTACTAAACTGATGTGGGGTCACCAGGGAGATCAACAAGGAGAGATGAAAGATACTCTCAAATTGATCTGTAAGTGCTCTGAGGCAAGATCACTGTGATAGCATAGAAAGGAATTTGAGAACGCACAGAAAAGACAAAGATGCACACAAATATACAAAGATTCACACTTTCAAAATATTTTCCTATAAACCCATAGAAACAACTCCTACATCCACAATGGAGTTTAACTTCATGAAAGGCAGTTTGCAATTCATGCTAAATGGCTGCACTGTAGAATAAGACAATTTGGCAATTTCATGATGTCACAAGATCTCACTCCAGCTGGGGATTTCACCCTCATGAATCCTACAGTCACAGCTCTCAGGTGATCTGGGACTTGAATTTGGAGGAGAGGCAGAAAAGTGGCAATGTCTTCTCTCATGAATATAATGCATATGCAAACACAGAACTTCAGGATTCTGGAAACAGCAGGACATCTCATGCTGAGTTCAACACTCTGAGTCACATAAAGAGGTTCTGATAAAGTGAATTTATGGTACTCTTCACTAGAAGTATTTAAAAATAGCTAGTCTAATTTTTAATTCCAACAGCAAATACATTGATATTTCGTGTCTATATTCTACAACAGTCTCCAAACAGAGCCAAAATAAATGCCTTGATTTTTCAATACCCAAAGGTTCTTAAGGCTAAAATGCTAACAAAATACTAGCAATCAAATCACAGCTTTAACAAACAGAGATTTATATCTTCTTTTAAAAACTCTGACTTACCTGCATTGAAATAAGTATGAAATCAATTAGGCTCCCAATTCCACAAAATCCTACAGTGCAGAACTTTAACAAACCTGAAAAACAAAAATAAAATTTAACTGCAACTTTAAGCAACTACTATGAAGTTCACGTTTCTGGTGGCAATCACATCTCAACTCTCTCCCCTTCCCACAAAATATATATTTTATAAATATATATATATA